TGTTAAATTATTAATTAATTTTTAATTTTTTATCGTTAACAATTCGTAATTAACAATTAGAAATTCCCATCGCTAGTTATAGCGGAGCTTTTATTTATGAGGTAATTTATGTATAGGGTACGTATTTACTTTATTTATGCATTTTAATTTCACGTGGTTTGAACCCAAAATCTTGGGGCTTGAACCAATATCTGTGGGTCTCAAACCACCGAAAAAGGAAAAATACTATCAATCGGGAGGAAGTATACTAACAAAATAAAATTGACAAAAAAATATATAATTACAATTGTTATATAACATTATAGTGAAAATAATTTAAACTTCGAACAATTATAATGATTGTAATAATTATTTATTGAATAACCGTCCTTTTTTATGAATTTGGAATATTTCATAATCATCCACTGAAAATTTATCAGTGGTACTTCTAATTGCTCTTTCATATGAATCATGATGACAAAAACTTTGTTCATCTTGATTAGAGTTATTTCCTATAAAAAGATCATTATTGCTAAAACCACCACCAAAGCATGGTCCATTATCAGGATTACAAATGATTGCATATTGTGAATATTTTACCCGACTTAAAATAGATGATTTAATAGTACCATTTCTTAATGAAAATATAAAGTTTTCATTAGAACTTATATAATTCTTAATTGATTTATCCCATTTTGTAGAATTATATCCTCCAAGAATTTCATCTGTATCTTTAACCTTTATTATCACAACAGTATTTGCTTGCCTATTACATAATCTCCAAAATGTAGAAGAGGTAAAACCATCTTTAGCACCACGAACAAGTAATTTGAATTCGTATGGATTATTTGTTACTGAATATTCTTCAGTTTTTTTATCAATCCATGATGCAATTTCTGCTGCATTTACTTACTGATAATTCTTGAAAATGGTTTTCTATATAGTGAACCTATTCGTGGTGGAAGAATTTCTAATGATATTGGACGATGACGATTTGGAGCAATCTTTTTTAGTAATACATCATTCCAAAGGTTTCTATCTAAAATTTGATGATACGGATGTACGTTATCAACAATATCGTCACCAGACATTTGAAAATAACGAATATGAGGTAAACAATTTTGTAATGTAATTTTTAAAGCTAGAAAGTTTTTTTCAGTCCAATCTTTAGGATTGGTTGGTAAGCCAGGATTTTGAGCGATTCCCCATTTAATAACATAAATCCATATTTTCCCTTCTTCATTCTCTTGTAAATCATCCCGTTTAATAAATGATATTAAGGCATCTTCTGAAAGTGAGGTAAAGTCATCTGATTTTAAAAGTTTATCAGGGAATTTTGATATAAAATTATTACACCATTTTTGTAATTTTTGAAGTTTTTCATTTTGTATACTTTTTTGATAAACGTATGTAAAATGCGAATGGAGCCAACTATCTTTTTCTTCAATTATATAATTTTCAAGGTATCGAGTTAATTCTCCAAGAAGAAATTCACAAGCAACGAGCATAAGTTCAAAAATAAATGATGTGTCTTGATTTTCAAACGAAACTATTCCTCCATATAAATATCTTTATTAGATTAGTAAGATTAGTAAGATTAGAGATTTAAATTTAAATTCTTTTGCAGTGTACGCATATTATAGATAATGACAAAATACTATAACTTACTTAATGATAATTTCAAATTGTTGAGCAGAAACATTACTTAAATTAATTGTCTTAATATTATTGTCATCTTCGTAAATTTTTGCTAATTCATTATGAAAATACTTAGATCTAAATCTCAAAATATTTGAATGTAATTGGAATGGTTGATATTTGGTGATTCTCCAACATTAATGATTACATTAAAATCATCTTTATCATTAAGAAGTTCAAGATAATTATTTGAAAGGTTATCAAAAAATTTTACCACCATTTTGTAATAAAATATTAGAAGGTGTTAAACCTCATAGGATAAGCGTAGCCAAAGTTATTTTATGGAAGAGCAAAGGAATCTTAACTCCGGCTCAATTTATAATTTTTTAGCTTAAATAGAAATATTTACACTGCACGCTTCGGCGTAACCTGTGAAAATATAAGGTTTTTTTCTAGTATTTTCTGTTAAGAAAACAAAGTTGGCTAATAGTAGTACATGTTATATAATTACTGACTCATATTTGGTAGGTTGTGAACCTTACACTCTTTCTATGAACGTTTCTATGGTACATACGTACGTACTGTATGTACTGTACACATTTTTATAATTACATTTATAGAAAATCTTATAGTGCATTTCAAATTTTATCTAGTACTAATAATAATATTCTCGAAAAAGAAATTAAACAATTAGGGGTGATCACAGTAATTTAAAAGCACTGTAATAGGAGATGTACGTATTAATGAAGCTCTTTACATTATTGTTTTCCGTTGAACAAGATGCAAATGGTTTGCTTAATTTTACGTAGGTACATATGTACAAACTTACATTGTCTTTTTTTTTGGAGTTATAATGGTAATCGATTATTATAAAAACACCAGCATCACAGGTAGCAGTCACATGATTTCTTGGACTTTTATATATTATCAAATATGACGTACTCTACAATACAACAATATATATGTGATTTATCGTTATTGTATATTTTCATTCGTATTTTAATTTTTCGTTTGTACTGTACAGTAATTTTGGACATAACGAGCCTGCTCTAAATCGTTTTTTTTAAAAAAAATTAATATTTTCGGTATACCTAGAAACGCAGTAAGGAACTTTTGAAAAATCCTTTACTATAAGAACTACCAATTCGTTATGGAGGTGGCTTTTTCATAGAGAAAAAAACAATAATATTAAACTTTTTATGTAGATAATATGGGTAAATGTCAAATGGATTCAAATTTTTTTATTATAAGTATAGCCTTTTCTTAACGTGAATACTTTTTACTGGCTTTTTTTTCTTTACAGAAGTTTAGTATGTGGTTCGCTATTAGTTAATTGGTGTTATTGAGTGTTATTTATTTTATTTCCTTGTACTAGAATTTATTTCTTTTTTCTCAGTATAATGTTCCTTTTTTTTTTTGCTAAGGCACAAAAATTTGTCTTATTCAATATTTCACAGGCTAATAACTGTTTTTATTTGAAAAAAATAAAAAATAAAAATAAAAAATAGAGAAAAATTTTCTTTCAAAAAATTCAGAAGCCCCCTAAAAAAAAAGCTCCAAACCAAATTTGAAAGGCTTTGGGTCGGAAAATCATGTAACTGCTATCCCTAATTATTGGTTACGCTAGTGCTTTTGATTGTAGTCACTAGCTAATTACATTAAGGAGGTGATTGAAGGTTTAAAGAAGTTATATATATGTTTTTGGTTTGAATTGATATATTTATAAATCATTATGATTAATAACAATATCACTTTACAATACGAAAAATTATTTAATACTGGTTTTTTTAAAAGCTCTATCATGTGTATTTAATCAAAATGTTTCGTAAACAGGAAGTATGGACTTTTAACTCCTATTGTTGAATGGTTTCCCTGTTAAATCTGGCAGCTCAGATTCTATTATTTCTATAAAGTCCACTTTCTGTTTAGCAAAAAAATAAAAAAATTAGACGAGTATTTGGAGGAAAATCCTCTATTGCTAAACTATAGTGTTGATCGCCAAACCATAAACATAATTACCATCTTTCATGTTTTCTTCGTAGGTTAAATCATTTACGTCGGTTTAAATTGACATAACTTTAACAGTGATTTAAGGAAGTAATATTTCTATTTTGATTACTTTTTTAATTGATCAAATCCTTATAGGAAATCTGGTTTAAATTTCAAATACTGAAAAAGAAGAATAATAATACTTTTCGTCTATTAAGTTTTTTTTTAAATTACTTAACTAAATCTAATTATCGTTAGGAACTATTAAAATAAACCATTTTCAATCTTTGATTAAACCAATGATTAGGAATAAAACGATGCAGATAACAATAAAGATAATTTTATTTCCTTCAAAGTGAGTAGTTATTTATTTATTAGGACAAGCAAAAGGATCAAAGTAATATTTTCTTTTACATCATTCATATATTATAATATGATAATAAATACATGAAATAACAAGTAATAATGAAGAAGACTAGTCAATAAAATAAATAAAAGAAATTGTGAGGCGTTTTAAATAAGATCCATGTGCATTGAATTAGAAGATTTTTGAGGAAAGAAATGAAAATTTTGGTACTCGTAAGCAGAAATATTTTTTACAATTCGCTCAAAAGTAGCCTTGCCTCGATACGCATCACCTTCAAAATGATTTTCAATATTAATATTATTCCACTTTTTACCTTCGAGTGAGAACGCGGTATTTCTTTCTTCTTGCAATGGAGCCTGGATATGGGCAAATACCCTATTAAGTTCCCTGCCATACTCGTAAGATTCGGAATCTAAACTTCTTTTTTTATTATCAGAATCTTGTTCAATTTTTGCATCTTTGCCTTCCAATATTTCATGAACTCCAAGTAAAAAGAAGGCTAGCCTTTTTGGGCAGTTCTCAGCATTAATCCCTGTAGCATAAATCCACTTATAAAATTGTTCTTTTAATTCTTCATTAAGAAAAGGAGGTACGGTACCTCCTATTGATCTAACGAATACAACTAATTTATTTGAGAGACCTTTTTCGGCTTTGCCTAGGCAGTCAATATCTTGTCTTTTGATATTAGTATTATGAATTTGTTTTCTTTGCCTCCAATCTGGGTAATAACCAGCTATTTCGATACACTTTTCCAACCATTCCATCGTCATAAAAAGCATATCGTGAATAGTTTTCCTATCATAAGCACTTAAGGTTACTTGTTGCTGATCTTGGAGCTGTCGTGGCCAATCGTGGGATTGCTGATCTTGGAGCTGTCGTGGCCACTCGTGGGATTGCTGATCTTGGAGCTGTCGTGGCCACTCGTGGGATTGTTGCCCTTGGAATCGGTTCGGCTCTTGGGATTGTTTGTTCCACCAAGTACTCATTTTTATTAAAGCAAGTATTTTTTGCAAAATTGTCTTTTTAAGCAATTAAAAGAATAAAAAAAGGGACAAATTGACTGATGTTATATATAAAAGTAGAAAACCAATATTAATTCTTAGACTCACCCGACTCATGTTAACTCATTATTCGAGAATTAAACTCAAAGAGTATTCAAATCATGTACAAATTTGCCGCAGCTTATATTGTTTAAAAATTTTATCGAAGATATCTCGACAACCACTCAGTAAATTTGTAAATTTTTTTTTTAATTTGAATTGTATGGATTCACAGAATTCAAATAAAAAAAATTCTACCGGATTTTATTAGGTGGTTGTCAAGATAGCTTCGATGAAAGTTTTAGAAAAATTTTAAATTAAAATGTTAGCCGCGACAAATTTATGCATGACTTTGATCGAAAGTATCTCGACAACCACTTAATAAAATTCAATGAACTTTTTTTTATTTGAATTTTATGAATCCATAGAATTCAAAGAAAAAAAGTTCATCGAATTTCACTAAGTGGTTGTCGAG